GGAGTCAACCATCAATTTAAATTGTACACCCTAAAGATAGGGTAACAACTTGAGAGAAATTTGGTGACATAATTCTTCATTCTACATTTTCTAGATAGTTGGATCAACAACGAAGGATGTTACTAAAGTTGCTCGTTCCATTTTGTGTATGGTTCTATACTATTCCTAGGTTTGCATATCTTTTTGTTGAAGTAAAAATATCTAACAATATAGAGTATAAACACAAGATATTACTTTTCTGAAAAAATGTGGTACGAAGGAATTCCCACATCTTTTTGGTGAAGTTCTTTAACATAATACTTACTATGGAAAGTTTAAGACTATTGAGCAGCTAAGTAAGAACAACATACTTGAAATTTTGTCATGTTGTGAACTCGATAGTCTAATTACTATTTAGATAAGAGACATCAAGGTTATGGAGCTTTCCATGTGAACTAACCAAGTGAAAGACCTTTGATTGTAGAGGATAATTGATACCATTGAATTTGATAGTAGGGATGGTTGACTGATGTAGAAGTCATGATACCGTTTGAGAAGAATCTAAGAGATAGCTTAGAGAAAAAAGTTGCACAAGTCACGAGATTGTTAAGTTTTAGGAATTTGAGCTTTTTTGATAGAGTTATGTTTTGAGTCATAACGAGTGTGCGAATGAGTGCATTTCGTATTAACCAATGCAACAATTTCAATAGCATTGCATGCTAGATTATATGCAATTTTGGAGTAGACAACATGTAGCGGGTGATATATTAGGGTTTTGGTAAGCAGTGACGAGGTGGGGTGCTAATGAGCAGAGCAAATCATAGGAAAGCATGTTGGGTGAGTGGGTTGTTGATTGTGAGAGAGCATCGTGTGAATGCTAATGAATTGATGAGTTTATGGGTGAACGGGCTACGAGGTGTATCTAGATGGTGAGCGAACTAAGATAGGGGATGTTGAGTAATGAGAGATGGGTGAGTGACAAGTGGAAGGAAGAGGGTGTGAGTTGATTAGTGGAGAGAGTGGCTAGTGTATAGAACGAGAATGGAGGAAGCAAAGACATGCAAATCTTACCTAATACAATGTTGGAAGAAAGAACTCGTGACATTACTAGCTAATATTTGTTAACCACTGACTAGTTGACCAGCCCCACCTCATGCCATTCCACTCATGCACAATCTCTTAATCATCGCTTCCAAATGGCACAATTGTATGCGAGGAATCGCTTGCCCCTCAAAATCGAACTCATGCACGGAACCATACCATTCAAACTCTCCTCTCTTGGTGCCAAACAAAGGATCCGAAGCCCTATCTCTCTCAACTGCAAGGAAGCCGCTCGATCCTATGTTAGGCCCTCCTACAGTGCGCAACCAACGCACCTGCCCGCTTGGCCTATGCCTGCTTGTGAACCCTTGAGCCTGCACACACGTGCCCAGCGCTCGAACCCCATCCCGTTTTGATCCAGCTTGATCCAGCTCGATCCTGGACTCCCCCTTTCACATGTACACATCACCTCGGCCCGCGTCTACTCCTGTGACTCCGGTCCGGCCGCCACACTCGAAACCGAGTATTCTCCTCTGCTTGTTTGTTCACAACAGTAAGCTTGACTTTCTGGTCCTGCACTTCTTGCAGACCCGCCTCTGTTGTTTCTGTGTCTCTGTTGGAGCAACCCCAAACGACCTTCTATTTTATTAAATATAAAATTATAATAAACAAATACCTCAGTTTGAAGACTTGAAGGCTTGTACAAGGACCAATCATAGTCCAGAAGCCCTTGGCCGTCGAATTTTGATTCGGTCAGACATATTTGAAAGTCAAGTACCTCCCAACCTCCCTTTGCAGGGAGGGGATGTTGGGAGGCTGCTAGATTTTCAAGAAAAATAAAAAAACATATTTTTAAAATTAAATCATATTTAATTAACATGTATTGCTAATTGAAGGATTTAAAGACTCGTGCCGGGACCAATCAACATCCCGAAGCCTCGACCGTTGACTTCTTGATCCAGTCAGGCGATTGAAAGGGCAAATGCCCTCCCAACCTCCCTTCGCGGGGAGGGGATGTTGGGAGGCTACCGAAATTTTCAAGAAATATAACAAAAATTACATTTGTTTTAATTAACAGGTACCGCAATCTCAAATTGAAGAATTTGAAGACCTGTATCGGGACCAATAATCGTTCTGAAGCCCTCGGCCATCATATCTGTAATTTGGCCGGGCGGATTTGAAAGACAAGTGCTTCCCAACTCCCTTCATGGGGAGGGGATGCGGAGAGGTTGCCAAAATTTTTGAACAAAATAATGGACCCTCATAATTAATTTTAAAAAAATGTCATTTCAATTGATAATAATACTAATAATAATAATAATATTTAAATTCTCATTCATAGGCAAGCATCATTCCATGACAAATAACCCACAATACAATATACATAGACTCTAGGACACCCTCTACAATCTATTTCAATTTAATGCAATGTATACTTGTGGCTAGACACTTAAGGAGGAGGGGAAGAATAGAAGAAAATTTAATTTGGAAAAGATGAAGAAATGTGGTGATTTCTATTGTGTATTTAACAAGAAATCAAAACTTATGGAAAAGTGTGAAGTAGATGTTCGTGCTTGAAAAAAATGGGGGAAATACATTGAATTGAATGGCATGACCCAATAACCCCTTAAGACATCAAGATCCTACATGATTCATGACCCGAAGTAATTCAAATGCATAAAGAAGGCTCAAAATACATGAAAATGATTCAATAGCACCTCATAGTACATAACATCACTCAATGCATATAAATCTCACAAGTAAAATAATTCAAATGCATAAAGAAGGATCTTGTTGATCTAGAAACCAAAAGCTATATCATGATGACAAGGAGTTTGATGATCACTTGCTGATTTAGGATATCTGGAAATATAATGATGTAATCCACTTGATTATGCGCAAGTGTGCTAATGTTAGGACCCAACCGATTGATAAAGATTTAAATCTTTTAATATTGGCTATAATTGCAACTGATAAGGAAGAATGCAAGAAACCATAAAGTGAGGTTTTGATTGATCTATATATTTTTCAACCCTAAGATTATATACTCTAAAAATTATTCATTCATAACCTAAATTTAAATCCTACCAAGAATTTAAAATCTTGAAATGAAATTTTTTGCATGTGCTATGATCTTTAAGTCAAGCATCTAAATGCGAGATCTAGGAATGCTTCACGGACTTGTTAAAAGTGCTAAATTTCCCAGATGATGGTCTTGTTGGCAGCAAATCTCAACGGAGGGGATCCCAAACTTTTAAGATGCCTCCTAAATTCCTACAAAATATAGATATTTTTCAAATGGCCGTCATGTCACCCCGATGATGGCCGTGTTGACAGAAAATCTCAATCAGAGGGGATCCCAAACTTTTAAGATGCCTCCCAAATTCCTACGTAAATAAAAATATTTTAAAAGTAACTTTAATGTCACTCCGATGATGGCCTTGTTGAAAGTGAATCTCAATCAGAGAGATCTATATTCAAATCCTATTGAATTTTTAAAAATCTAATATTTATTAAATTTTAAATATTTAAATGAAAATTTAATAACAAAAACTTAAAACTAAAATCCATCCTTATCCCACAACCGTTTGTTGAGGGTGATAAATTTGAAACTAACTTCAGCTTAGAAAGAGCGAAGGTTATGTCGGATGTTTCATTAAGATTTATTCTCAAAAAATCTCTCGCCAGTAGGGACGTGACAATTACCCTCTAATTGAGTGATTTTGTTGCAAACTGACACCACTATATTACAATTATGGCTAAAGCCCGTATGTTCCCTGATGGTTTAAAGTTCTTGAATAATGAATCATAGAATGTACTTGATAGGCATAAAGCCTTTTTATCAGTGGACTCAAATGTATCTCCTTTGACAAACATCCACCCTAAGTCTATAAGATATTCTTAAATGATTCAACCCATGGTTGCCGACAAGTTTCTTCTGTCAGGTTGAGTTGACTACCTCTTTTGTCTAAGACCAAGGATCATGACAGTCCGGGACGATGGAATTATGAGATCTTGATCGGGCTCGTCTTCATTCCTCTTATCACCTGTTTTAAGTATTTGGTGGTAAATTTAAAATCATAAACTCTAAAATTCAAATTCTAAAACTGTTGCATTGGGTACTAAGTGCATACTTAATGACTAGCGTTAATCGAAAATTCTCTCTCGTTATCGGGAGGGGTAATTAACTATAGGGACTTGCACCTATAGGAAATCAAAACTCAGATCATAAAGTCCTAAAAAATTAGGGCAAAATCTTTGGGTAGTATCTTATCTAAAACCTAATTTGCCTTCTGAAAATTTACCTGAAAAATAAATCCGTTAAAACTCTCCCCGTCAATAAAAGATGGCGCAAAGGCTAGGGCACAAATTTTTGAAACCTACAATATTAGGTGCCTATAAGTAGCCGCTTACTAGGTAAATATATAAGGAAATAAATAGACACACATTCTCAATTTTAATGATATAAAATATAATAAGAATTTTCTTGCAATATCATATTGCATTTACTCCATGGATTTTTCATATAGAATCTACTGTCTTATCGATCAGTAAGGGATTCGATTGATAAATACATGGTCCTTTTTTGTTGCAATTAACTAGCAGAAGATAGACGCACTACTTAAATGTGTTTATTTATTAATTCACTTTCATTTTTGTAGCATGTTTCATGTTGTTTTTCGCTTAATTTCATTATATTTATTTTTTAAAAAATATGCAATTATGGCCTTCATTGTCAATATTAAGTCATGCTCTCGCAGGCTACACACGGATGGATTGGTGTGGGTCAGGCTTATGTGGGCCTGAAAATCATTAAAACTATTTGTCTTGATAATTATATGGCCACCTTTTTGTTAGTTTGGTAGAGTTTCGCATCCATGAGGGCCTTTCATTTATTCTTCATATCATCAAGTTTGTTTATTTAATTTTTGTTCTCATGCTTACTCACTGCCTCATTCCTTTGATTATTTGAATTCCAGGTGATATTTGGACTGGTTCTGAAGGCGGGGTGTTGAAAGCTTGGCCTTGGGAATCTATTGAAAAGTCCCTTTTTCTAACAATTGAAGAACGACATATGGCTGCGTTGCTAGTTGAGAGGTCATATGTTGACCTTAGGAGTCAAGTCACGGTAAATGGGGTTTGCTCCCTTCCTGCGGTTGATATCAAGTATCTTTTATCTGATAATTCTAGGTCTAAAGTGTGGAGTGCAGGAAGCCTAACCTTCGCATTATGGTATACCTTAACCTTCCTCCCACTTCTTTTAACTTGTATGCAAACCACTCATGTGAATCGTGAATGATATATTGTTAGTTTGTACCTTTCCCTTAAATAGTTTTTTTTAACCTTGTTTTGACTGATGTAATTAATATAATTTCACAGGGATTCTCGGAAAAGGGAACTTTTAAAAGTATTCAATATTGATGGTCAGGTTGAGAATCGGGTTGATGTAGCACAATCACAGGAGATACATGTGGAAGATGAGATGAAGGTGAAGTTAACTAAGAAGGAAAAATCTGGATCTATGAGCTTTTTCCAGCGTTCGCGAAATGCCTTGATAGGAGCTGCTGATGCAGTTCGTAGAGTTGCACAAAAAGGAACATTTGGAGAAGATCGAAAGACAGAAGCATTAATGATAGCAATGGATGGTATGATTTGGACTGGATGTTCAAATGGCTCGCTTTTGCAGTGGGATGGAAATGGGAATAGACTACATGAAATCCAGCATCATTCTTCTGCTGTCAAGTCCATGTGTGCCTTTGGGACACGTTTGTGGGTGGGCTATATCAATGGTACTGTTCAAATAATGGATCTTGAAGGAAATTTACTTGGTGGATGGCTTGCTCACAGTGGTCCTGTTATAAAGATGTTTGTTGGAGCATCACATCTTTTTACATTAGCCAGCCAAGGAGGAATTCGTGGATGGAGTCTTACATCACCTGGGCCCATCGATGATATCCTGCGTACAGAGCTGTCAAGTAAAGAACTCGCTTACACAAAAGTGGAAAAAATTAAAATTTTGGTAGGAACTTGGAATGTTGGGCAAGAAAGGGCTTCTCATGATTCCCTTATTTCATGGCTTGCCAGTGTAGCAAAAGAAGTTGGATTAGTTGTTGTTGGCCTTCAAGAAGTGGAGATGGGTGCTGGTTTTCTTGCAATGGCGGCGGCAAAAGAGACTGTGAGTTAGCAATACATACTTTATGTTTAAATCTTCTCTGAGATAATTTAAACAAAGAACTGAAGCTTCATTCCATCCTTTATTTTGTTTTTACGCCTTTATCATTTTGAGGTTCCTTTGTTATTTTATATCACAAGTAGTTTCATACCTTAGAAGGTGAAATTCGAGAATGGAAAAGCATCTTTGTTGTTCATCAAATCGTTCACTGTGAACGTGAATATTTTAGGAGGTTTGTCATGTCATGCCAAATACTTTAACACTTGGATATAGAAAGCCATAGGGGCTGACAAATCACTCTTATTTAAAAAATAGGGAGCTAGTTTCATGTGTAACATCCAAATCTTGCATATTTTCATAAATAATGCTTAAATACATTTGTTTACAATAATATCACTCAAATATTGAATAGCTTGATTTATGTGGCAAGTTTTATTCTCTATCATTTCTTAATTTTTTAATGATTTGATTGTATCTAGTGTTGTACAGATAGAAAGAAAAAGATTAGGAGAAAAGAGAGAGAGTGATGATGTAAACTGGAAAGAAGAGATGATTTGTTTGGTAAGAGGAAGTAGGTTACGAATTTAAAATTAAAGTCAATCATGGATATCCTTACTATAACCTTAAGATTTCTTTTATAATAGACCAGGATAAACTAAAGTATAACCGAAATGACCCTACCTAATAGATAGAAAGATCCTTATTTCTATGATTATCTAGATGTAAAATAAATATGAAAAAGAAAAATAAAGATTTATAATGCCGATCCTAAATAATTGGGATAATGCTAATCCTGATGATGATGATAAGAAAATACAAATATTATAAAAACAAACATGCATCTTATAATTATATTTGAATCTCAAAAGGTGTAATTAATTCCATTAGTGGCCCCAGAAAAAAACTCTTCATATCAAGAGTTTGATAGTGTGGATCATGGTGGAGTTGGTGAAATTGGTTCATGTGTATCTTTTACGTAATCTTGTGGGATAGTGTAGATATACACAAACAAAATGATAGGGCACCAAATCATGACAAGGGCCAGTACCTGAAAACTATACATGATATGGAATTTATGATGCATGTAAAAAATGAATAACACGTTATGACACAAGTATTTTCTGGAGCCATAGTGCATACTGATAGCGTGGCAAACACCATGTTAAAAATAGCACAATCACAGAACAATAAGAATAATTTATTAATAATTCTACAGTGTAAGAACAAATTATCCTATACAAGCAGAAAAAATATAAGTAATAGCATATAAATAGAATATGAAACTGTTTTAGCATATATGAAGGTTAATGAAAGACGATCATTTTTTTTTTAATGAAAGACAATCATATTATATAATATATGATAACAATGAAGCACTTAGTTTTGCTTATAAAGCTACCATGGTTATATCAATATATAATAAAGTTGCATGCCACAGTATCTATCCTAGCTATTAATCATTACAACAATGATTGATTTAAGTCTGTTATTTGAACTTTGACCAGGTAATGTGGATGTTCATATTAGCGATCTGCTTTTAGAAACAGTGGTTACTGTACAAGTTCTTACTCAATGTTGTGCTCAAATATGATGAGCATAACTAAGCTGGAGTTGTTTTCTGCGAACTTAGTTTATGAGTTTTGTATTAATACTTGCATTTTTTACTTGAAATAGGTGGGACTCGAGGGCAGCGCCAATGGGCAATGGTGGTTGGATGCTATTGGTAGGACCTTAGATGAAGGTGCCTCTTTTGAACGTGTTGGCTCCAGGCAGTTAGCAGGATTGCTTATTGGTGCATGGTATATGCTTCTAGTTTGATTAGTTTTATTTTAATATAGCATTTTCTCTCAATTGATTTCAAGGGAAGCCCATATGTTGTTCAATACTTGTTTATCATAGCTAATTTTCCTTATGGCCCATCTTTTTACTCTTAAGGGCTAGGAAGAACCTTAGGCCAAATGTTGGTGATGTTGACGCTGCAGCTGTAGCATGTGGATTTGGTAGAGCAATTGGCAACAAGGTATACTTTACTAGCTACATTGCTTTCATTTACATTTCATTTTGTTGGAAGCAGATAGGGTTTTCTTATTTAGGGGATGACACTTAAAATAATACCAACCACTAACAATTATATCTGAGAATGCTGGTGGCCGCGTTGGACACCCCCCCCCTCCCCCCCCACCCCACCACAAAAAAAAAAAAAAACCGCCTGCACAGCCCAATATATCCCCGCCTGCATAGCTCAATATTATCCAAGAAAATTATTTTTGAGTGAATAAACAAATTGAACAATCATATATTTTTGTTGAGAAAATAGAGCACAATCTAACAATTATATTCACTTAAGGTTGGAATGTAAAACCACAAGAAAGGAAGTTGATCTGCCCACTCGTACCAATAATTTAATAATAGTATATTGTTATATCAGTCCAGGAGGGATCAGCCTTTGCATTCCACCCAAGGCTTTGCGCTCCCCGGGTGTGGGGTCCACACGTTAATGAAGAGAGGAGGGGGTGGGTGAGAGGGAAATTTTAATTGAAGGGGCTGTTTTGGTATTTTACTTTGAATTGTATGCTTTTCATAGTTGTTTTCACCGCAGGGCTAGGTTTATGCTAGAATTTGGCTGAAACTAGTTGGTGCTTAGGGAAATTTGGGATCTAGCTGTCGGCAAGGGTTAGGGAGAGCTGGATCTTCCTTTCCAATTGAAGATCCTTGTATCTTGTTTCTTTTCTTTCATAATTATTGCAATAAAAGTGGTTCGAGGTGTGTTCTTCTTGCAATTTTTGCTTGAGGTTAGCTGTTTTAGGGTGAATGCTCTCCTATTTTCTATCATATAATGATTGCAGCTGAACAAATTATGGCTTCTTACATTTATGAATTTATAGGTGTTTCATAAAATAATTTGTAACGGTGTTACATCCTAATAAATATCCAAGGAATAAAAGAGCTGCTAAACCATGATATTTTCATTCAACTATAAGATAAATAGTTATATATGTATGTAATATACAAATGTATTATCATATGGTCCTTATTACAATATTTATCTATATAAATATCAGAAGTCTATGAATCTGATTAACAATAAGACACTACATCTGATTAAAAGCGTTTAAAACTATATTTTACATCTATCATAATTACATCAAGGTTCAGCTTTAAGCCCATATTTTTTTGCTTTAGTCATGGATGTTCTTACTAGACATTTGCAAGAGGATGTACCCATGTATATGTTTTTTTGATGATAATCTTCTTATTGCTAAGACTAGAGAGGGAGTTGAAGGTAAACTTGAATTAGGGAGGTCAAGCTTAGAGTCTAAAGGTTTTCATTTGAGTAGATTTAAAACAAAATACATGGAGTGTAATTTTACTAGTAATAAATCTAGTGGGGTGATTGTGACTTTGGGCGATCATGTCATTAATAAGAGTACATGTTTTAGATATTTCGGGTCTATTGCTCTGAGTAATGGTGAAATAGATGGGGATTTTATTAATAGAATTCAAGTTGTGTGGTTGAAATGGAGGAATGCATCGGGCCTAATGTGCGATAGAAAAGTACCCCCTCAAAGTTAAGGGAAAATTTTATAAGATGGTGCTGAGACCTGCAATGCTTTATGGCTCAGAATGTTGGCCATTAAAAGCATACTTGTTAGTGGCGAATGGCACACCACTGCGCAAAGATCCCAGTGGAGCCATTGCGCATAGCGCTCGGCGCGACACACACCTTTTTAAACGTGGCGCACAATAGAAAATAATTAAAAAATAGATATTTATTAATATTAAATACCATTAAATAACAAATAATATGTTGATTAGCGTAAAATTTAGATGTAAATATCTTGTCAAATAGCAAAAATGATGATTTTAAATCATACATAAAATTACATCAATAGATTTGAGCAGGATTTAAGCATAATTTATCCTAAATCCTGCCTAATAACAAAAATGATAGCTTTAAATCTGACAAAAAAATTAAATCCTTTAAAGTTTTTTTGATATTTTATTAATTTAAATGTTAATTAATTAATAATTGATTATAATATTAATATGTACAACAACAACAACAACAACAAGCCTTTATCCCATTACGTGGGGTCGACTACATTATTAATATTATTATTATAATATTAATATGTAAACAAAAAAAAAAGAATTCATAATTTGAAATTTATAATATGTTAACAAAATAGCTTGCACCATGAACGCCTTGCACCATACGCCATTGCCCATGCATGGCACAAATAGCGCGCACTATTTTGATGCGCCGCGTCGCTCCATATGTGCACTACGCCGCGCCATGCACCATGGCGCGCGCAATTTTGCGCCATTTACACTTATGTTTAAAAGAGAAATATAAGATTAAATTAAGTGTTACAGAGATGAGGATGCTTAGGTGGATGAGTGGTTTTACTTTTAGATAAAAAATGTGAAACAAGCATATACGTGAAAAAGTTGGAGCAGCTCCAGTGGCAGATATGATTAGAGGGAGTTGCCTTAGATGGGTTGGTCACATAAAATGTTAGCCTCTTAATGACTTGGTTAGGAGACTAGATGTATTAAATTTGACTTACTTTAAGAAAGTCAGAGGTAGATCTAAAAAGACTTGGTTAGAAAATATTAAAATTTAGATTTAAAGGAGAATTTGACTCTATACATGACACAATAGAGAAAAATGATTCATGTAGCCGACCTCACGTAGTGGGATAAAGGCTTGTTATTATTGCTATTGCTATCATAATTATACAAAAATATCTAATCGTACTATACATGATCTCTTTAGTCTCATTTACTCCTTTACTCTGACTGAGGCTTTCCTATAATATGATTATCAATTAACATTGAGTTAGTGGATGCATCATTATTCTAATAACAATAAGCTCAATAGGAAAAGAGTTAATACACATACTTCATTTTATAAATTGGTATTGTTTATGACATTTGACGTAATAATCATTATCATGGCATCGATAGTAGTATAGCCATAGCAGCTGTGATTATATTTGACGTCTTAAGCATAATTATGGAATTTAATGTCGTCATCATCATTATGGGTCATAACATTGAGTGGTATAACTTTTGGATTAGAAAGTATATACGCATACCTTATGTTTTGGGAGTTCTAGTAACAATAACTTGCTATAAACCTAATCCAACGTTGGCGGATATATCCTCCATTAATATGATAGAGTGCAATTCTTATGCTTGGTATAGTATGTGACGGAGATGTGTCTAACTCACTACTAGATATATCTCGTTCAATATAGTGGGACTCAATTGTACATATACTAATGTTTGTGATTGAAAGGTTACAGTAATAATACATTAGTATATTTGTGTCTCCAACTAGTGTTATGAGGAGGTTCTATTTATCAACATGCACATACAAGCAGTCATGCCTATAGGCTTTTCTTTGCGTGCACCATTTCATGCAATTTATTTATTTGTAGGATCTTTTTACATAAATTTGCATTTCGTAATCATAGCAAATTAGCAATAACATAGCATAAAAAATTATAAATATGGTGATATCATAATATTGGGTTCATGGATATATAACATAACAGATTGAATATATGACCATAATAATGGTATAACATGCAAAAATAGATGAATAATGTGAAGTGGACAATCATAGTAGTTGTATGACATTTCAAAATCATATAAATTAACTGAATAGTCAATAGTGTGCATCACGCAGACTTTGGCAGTATAAAGAATTTTATTAAAAAAATCAAGGCAAACTAGCATAATTTTTGCATAATGAACATTCTATGGAAGGAAGCTTCAATAAATACGTGCATTCTAATGCACTAGATCTAGAGGAAGTATTACTCTTAAATAGAAATGCATTTTCCCTACCTTAATGACTTTAGTTTGACCAAATCATTGATTATATGTTCCTACCTTAATGATTTCAGTTTGACGAAATCATTGATCTGTTCCTAACAGCCAAACAAAATATCATCATATAACATACACATAAAATATATCATCTAGCTTTCCCTCTATCAAGCTACAACTTTTCGTTCTTTCTTCTTAGTTGATGATTAAATTTCTCTTTCTAGTAAAGAAATTACATAAATCTCTTGATTTAGTTGACACTTATAAATTGACTTGTAGACTATGATTAATTAATGACCATCTTCTAAGTAATTTACGATTTCTTCTTTAAACCTATCCATATCGTAGATGACTCGGTCTTATAAAACTTAGACCTATCTTAGACAAGAAACGTAACCCAACAAAGATATAATGCAAATCTAAGGCTTCTATCACACATCTACATCAACCAATTTCATCAAGCATGATTAATATAAATGCATTCATGCATAAATATATTAGGATTCTATTAGTAAATTCAAATCCTTCTCCTAAGTGTAATACTCATAAATTTAGGATAATCGATATATAACTACAATTATCTAAACCATATGACAGATTATTTAAGGTTTTATATTCCACTTCCCAAACTAATCATACATAGGGCTTTAGATTATGATCACCAAAGCTCTCATTTGATTCAACTCCAATAGGCATCTCTTAAAACCTTAGCTAATTTATCTAAGTCTCCATAGTCATATATGATATTTACTCGAAGAAAATTGTGATTTAAGATTGTCTTGCTTGAGCAAAAAGATGAATGAAAAGATATATTTTGCTCCTGGACCGGTCCTGATTTTATTGCCGGCGGAAGCAGCCAGGGAGGGAGGGAGAGGGGAGGGGGGGGGGGCCCCAATTGGAGTTAAATCTATTAGGAGGGAAATTTTGAATTACAAGCGTGTTTAGGGAATTTGTATCTCTCCTTTAGCTTTAATTAGGGAGTAATGATAGAATTAGGGGGTCATCTGGAATTTGATTGTAATTTGAGATCTAGGGTTTCTTATTTTGGGCTCTTGGCGTTGCCGGAGATTTGGAGAGTTGTTCTTCCTCTCAGATTGAAGAACATTGTATCGTTTGCTGTTTTTATTCATTCAATAGTGGAATACAAGTGTTTGCTTGGTTTTCTCTCAGGTTTCCTCCAGTTTTCCTCTGCTTGGGTGCTGTTTCCTGCTGTCAACAGCAGAAATTCTGCTGTTTGCTCATCCGTGTTGACTAGGTTTGCTTGCGAACTCAAGTATTACCTTAGAGTTACTTGCGGACTCAAGTATTTCCTATCAAATGTTTATCATCAATTAGTTAATTAACTAATCATCTCAAACAACTTGCCTTATATAAATAGGTCGATCTAGCTGGATCGATTAAATCTAGGTTATTTGTTAATAATTCTTAATTAGCCATTAATCTTCTTACTTTAACTAATCAATTAGCTTAGTGATTCTTAGGCTCCTTACAACAGGATTACGTTGACAGAACAAATTGATGCTATTAAAACATATGGAAAGGCTACAACCAACTCCACTAACCTTTATATGCCCTCAAAGAATCTAACCATATGTAAATGACCCTCGCAAATCTTGTAGTTCACGCATTACTACGCCTGTTTGAAACTGCAAGTTTTATGTCACTTGCTCTTTTCTTAATTATCTCCAAGGTGGTAAAAACAAAGCTCCATCTCTGGAAGCATCGTGGGTAACTTGTTATGGAGTCCCTTGCTGATACCTTTGTTTCTTTTTTGTTGATATATGGTTTTATTTGCAGGGTGCTGTTGGGTTAAGGATGAGGGTCTTTGATCGAGTTTTTTGCTTTGTGAATTCTCATTTTGCTGCTCACTTGGAAGCTGTCAGTAAGAGGAATGCAGACTTTGATCATGTTTATCGAACTTTGTCCTTCACTCGGCCATCTGTTGGACCAAATTCTGGATCAGGTTGGGATTTTATCCATATTAACATGAACACTCTTCTTTAGCCCATAAATCAACTGAAACAAGTACGTTCATACATGTAAGATGAAGTATTGATGCACTCATATTTCCTTTCCTTTGTTCAGCTGGTGCTACATCTGTTCAAGTGCACAGGGGAGGAAATGTAAGTAGTTTCTCCTGCTGGTTTTGAATTACAATTTCTTATGATTTATTCCCTGCTCATGACTAAGATAGCTACCATCATATGAATTGGCAATGGCAGTCAACTGCCTCTATATCAGATGAAAAACCAGAGTTGTCCGATGCAGATATGATTGTATTTATGGGTGATTTCAATTATCGTCTCTTTGGCCTCTCTTATGATGAGGCAAGAGATATGGTCTCGCAAAGATGTTTTGACTGGCTCAGGGATAAGGATCAACTTCGAGCAGAAATGAAGGCAGGCAAAGTTTTTCAAGGAATGCGGGAGGGTCAAATAAAATTTCCCCCCACGTACAAATTTGAAAGGCACCAGCCTGGTCTGTCAGGTAGGAAAACAAATCTTTTACAATGGGTTCGCGTGCATGTTGTGTCTCTATGTTCTTGTCAATTATTTCATGGAACATTGCCCGAGAATTGTGAGCTTACATTCTCCGCATCATTTTTATGTTTCTATGAGCTTTAAAGCTAAACCTCACTTCTTTTTACTTGAAGCATATGATTCTAGTGAGAAAAAGCGCATTCCTGCTTGGTGTGATAGAATACTATATCGTGACAATCGTTCCATCTCCGTGGCCGAATGCTCATTGGAATGCCCTGTTGTTTCGTCAATTTCACTGTAAGTATCTCTCATTTAGTTATTTTAGTTATGCAAAATTGTATTCTACATTTTATAGGTCACTGGAAATTGTGTTCTTTTTCTCCAGTTACGAAGCTTGTATGGATGTTACAGACAGTGATCATAAACCTGTTAGATGTATTTTCAGCAGTGAAATTGCACATGTTGACAAAACAGCAAGAAGGCAAGAGTTTGGAGAAATACTTGCATCACATAAAAAAATTAAAACTTTGTTTAAAGAATATAGCATTATTCCAGAAACAGTTGTTAGCACAAGCAGTATCATCTTGCAAAACCAGAATACTTCCATTCTCCGTATAACCAATAAAAGTGACAAGCGCAAGGCTGGTTTTGAAATCGTCTGCAGAGGCCAGTCTACGATAAGGGATGAGGGAAGTCCATATAAACTTTGCACAAAGGGTTCCTTTGGCTTTCCAAGCTGGTTACAGGTACATGCTTATGCATTTTGCAGCAGAGCATTTGCTTCCTTAACATATTTATTTTTAGAAGCCCCATACATTCTTTATATGATTGAGTTGATCTTCAGAAGCGTTGCCAAAATCAATCATATTTACATTTATACTACAGTTTGAGCTTCGTTCCAAGGATTTTACTGCCAATTTGTGACATTAAAAATAGAACAATTAAGTGAATTAAGTTTATTGGAAAGAAGGAAACAAAAACACAGTTAAATCAGCAAATTTTGCTATTGAAGCAACATATATGACTGTTGTTTCCTTCTGGAGTCTTAGCTTTATTTTTTAGCCTCTAGTGTTTGTAACTTATGACACTGCTCAGAAAATTTATGGTTCAATAGTTTGATCCTTTAATGCAATAATTTATTTTAATCATTTAGTTATTACTTGCTCTCTTTATTGGCCCTTGTTTGGGTTTCCTGTTGGTTAAATGTACTAGCGTAATACATTTTTTACTTCTTTTGCTTACACATACAATATAATGCTTGTTTGGATATTAGGCTGTGAAATATTTACTTTTTCATACTCCAGATTCTAGTGGGTAAGCAAAAGTAAGCGATTATTATTGTAGTTATCAGTATAATTTGCGTATTGGCATATTCTTTGCCTGCAGCTTCATATTTTGAAGAATTACTTTCTGAAATTAACGCAAGCCTGAGTAAGCACTTCTTGAAAATTGCGTTTATGTTGGATTTTTATGGCGCCAAATCATATTTTTCCTTTCAGCCTGTGGAGCAGGGTTGGCATTCACATTAAGATCAATAATTTAATTCCAAGCCGACGTCAATAAGAAAATCTATTTTCCAGATTTACAACTCTATTTTGTTATATGATCCATTGCAGTTGGTCTTGTCAGAACGTGTCCTGCAATCTTTTTCTTCTTCCATTTTATTTAGTAAGAGCATATTTTGCAAGTTCAAGAAAAGTTTCTTTGTCATCATTATTGTCATCCGTTTCAATCGAACTACCTACCTAAAAACATTGTGTCTTGCCCAAGTAAAGCGAGATTCTAGAGTAAAGATCAATTGTGCTCTTAATAACCATATTTTAGGAATACTTTTAAGGGGTATAAAATCATAATATCACATTAAATAGACCAAAACAAAATAATATAATTTTAAAGTTTTGTTGTATTCAGTGATGGTGAAATAGATGGGGATATTATCAACAGAATTCAAGTTTGATGGTTGAAGTGGTGGAATGCTTCGGGCTTGTAGTGTGATAAAAAAGTACCCCTCAAACTTAAGAGAAAACTCTATAAGATGGTGGTGAGGCCTGCAATGTTTTATGGTGCCAAATGTTTGCCATTAAAAGAGAAGCATAATACTAAGTTAAGTGTGGCAGAGATGAGGATGCTCAGGTGGATGAGTGGCTTTACCCTTAGCTATAGGATACAAAATGAGCATATACATGAAAAGGTTGGAGTAGCTCCAATAGAAGATAAGATTAGAGAGAGTCTCTTTAGATGGTTTGGTCACATAAAACGGTGGCCTTCTGATGGAACTTTTATTTTATCCAGTGAACGTACGCAGAGGAACGTTCGGTTTTAGGCAAAAAAAGCGCCTGTACCAAGTACCGAGTACCGAGTACCGAGTTGTACCGAGTTTTTTCAAAAAACTCGGTACAGGCGCTTGTTTGCCTAAAACCGAACGTTCCTCTGCGTACGTTCACTGGATATAATAAAAGTTCCTTCTGATGACCCGGTTAGAAAAGTAGAAGTATTAGATTTGACTTATGTTAAGAAAGGTAGAGGCAGACCTAAAAAGACTTGGTTAGAAAATATTAGAAATGATCTTTCTTTATTAGATTTAAATTAGAATTTGACTTTTAATAAGACACAATGGAGAAAAAGGATTCATGTAGCCGACCACACATAGCAGGATAAAGGCTTGATGTTGTTGTTGTTGTTGTTGTATTCTTAGTTCCAAAATCATCCATGCCCGCATTCCATATAACTTGTTTCCTATCGTGCATTCATTTTTCTTGAAAACCTAAGGTTCTTTCCACCAAATCACTTGTAAATTGTCATCATATATAACTAATGCATTTTATTTTAACCATTAGCATTTAGCACCAGTTTCTTCCTCTTCAATCAAAGCACCTCACTACCTAACCGCTTAAGGCAAGTGCCCAGTTGCCTTAAAAAACATTGTGCTCATCTGTAAAAATCTGCTTACTTTGCAACTTTGCATGCACTAAAAATCAAAATTCTTGCATACCATCTATCAAATCAATGCAGTTTATCGTGATTTTATTACTTAAGTCTTTTTTTTTTCTTCTTCTGAAACATCAGGTCCAACCTGCTACTGGGATAATCAATGCCGGCCAGACGGTGGAAGTGACGATCCACTACGAGGACTTCTGTACCCAAGAAGAATTTGTTGATGGGATCCCCCAGAATTGGTGGTGTGAAGACACAAGAGATAAGGAGGTATTGCTGCTAGTGAAAGTTACGGGCAGCTATTCAACAGAGAGAAGATTCCACCATGTCCTTGTGCGCCATTGCAATCAAGGTAAGGCATCATTTAATGATTCTCAAGGGAGTTCCAGAAGATTTGAGGAAAACCATCTGCAGAAACCTGACCCTAAAACCTTAAACAATTCTTCTGATCAATCTGTCAACCTTTGCCATATGCGTTACCTATGAAGAAGGAAAGCAAGGTGACGATGATGGATTGGATATATTCATTTCTGTACATAAGACATTACTGGAGAATCCCAATTTTACACAGCTAGGGAAGCAGGAAAAAGAAAGAATAGAAATAAAGGAAAGGAAGCTGGATATATTCGTTCTTCTTGAGTTCCGGATTCATTTTTGTTTTCAGATGTCGACAATGTTCTTTAGATTTTTTTTCTTATACTTATATTTTGAGGTAAAAGGAGATAGCCTCATGTTATGTATTCTGCTGCTGCTTTCATCATGTTCTCTGTTCAGTATTCAATTTCCAAACATGTTTAGAATTTCTGGTCATGTCAGATGAACTTTGTTGTTACAAAGTAGTTCTTTGAACCGAATAATGACAAGATGACTGATTTGTTTCAATTTTACTGAATAAAACTTTTGACAAGTTTAATTCAAATTGAAAAAGTTGTATTAGAATATTTATAATGATAGAAAGAGAATTTATGTTGCCTATCCCAACATCTTTATAGCTCAAGCTATTGTCACAAGGGGAAATCACATCCAACTCATTCACTCATTCATATTCTCTCTTGAATTCAATATTTTTTAAGAATATACAACTATTTGAGACTGAATGAAGTTGCAATAATGTTGTCTCTTCTTGATGAGAATTTGTTAAATGGAATAAACATAGAACTTCAATCTCTCTTATTTTCTTCTCACTTAAATTTATCAATAAAAGCTCATTATCTTTATCTCATTCTCCTTCATCATTTGTTAATAATACACATGTGCTATACAAAGGAAATCATTTAATATTCCCTTATTTAAATTTCTTCTAGAAGCCATTGGAAGGCTAAGAGAGGGATCATCACAATTGCAATAACCTTGCCCAAATCTACATCCTTATATGCATGCCTTTATTTTTTTTTTTTTACTTTTCCTCTTTTTCTTATTAGCAACTAGGGAGGAATCATCTTTGGCAACCTTAATAATATTTAAATCAATATCTTTATGAAAGACACATTCATCTGCAGAATTAATTTCTACATCTTTCCAAATAGAATTAAAATGACTAGAAGGGAAAAATCTAATCAAGGGATCATCACAATCCTCATCAGATTTCACATCCTCCTGATGTAAACCCTCCAAATTAGACTGAAGCACATAAGCAGAAGAGGGAGAAATATGAATGAAAATTTTGGGTAGTAAATTGAAGACGTTTACATTGCTAGAAGATGAATCAGATTGAGCACAAGGAGTCATTTGATTGCTAATCTGAGCTTCAGGACTAGTAGTATCATTAACATAGATAGGAATTGGGGAAACAACAATAAATGAAGGGGCATTCTGGTTAAGGTTAGATGATACGAAAATATTAGTGTTTGTTGATGTTATTAAAATAGGTTTAGCTGCTAATTTCTTAGGTAGATCATCTAAGTTTCTTGTAATTATTGTCATCGGGTTAGGAAGAGAATTCCCTTCTTGTTGATTGAGAATAGTAGTATGAGAATTCTCTTATAGAAGAATAGAATTCTCAAAATCCTTAACATTAGTGTTATGAATATTCAAATTATCATTCATAGCAACATGGTTTTCCATAGGCCGGGAAAAAAGAAATTTTAATTTGTAGATTTACTTTTGTCTTTTCTAAAGATGAAACAATTAAAGATAGCATGGCCATGAGTTTTGCAGTGATTACAGAAAGAGGGATAATTTTCAATTTCACTTTATTTGAGGTAGCCAAAGTTTTCAGGACCAATTCGAATTTTCTTGGAATATTTTTTTTAGTAATGTCTAATTCAACCAAAACCCTGATGATAGAGGGCCTTGACCTAGATGCAGTTGCTTGATTAGTTTGTAAAGGATGACCAAAAATAGATGCAATAGCAAATAGAACTTGTGAATTAAACACATGTAACTGGAGATTTGAAAATGAAATTCAAACCGACACAATAAGAGATTCTTCTTTAATGTAAAAATAAGGAGTCCACTTTCATTTGACAATTATTAATGTAGTAACAATATCTCAAAAAAATATAGCCATAGTCCAAATCATTAGAAAGTTGAATAGCAATATGCCTAGGATCCAAGATACCTATAGAAAGAAGGTCAAATTACTTCAAATTAAAAAAAAAATTCGAATAACTTCTAAATTAGGCCTTCAAATTGAAAATTTGCCAACTAATACAAATTCAAAAGGAGCAGCTAGTTTAATCACATCATCATCTGAGAACATCATAGTAGGAACTCCTTTAAAGGAGGTATGCACAAGTGAGATCGAGGGAGTAGTTGGAGGGATCTTCCCAAAAACCACTACTTCTTTGAAAGATCGGGAATTACCATTTGCCAAAACTCCAAGTAAACCCAGATTTTAGTCATAGCAGGAGGCTTGCTTGATTCTCAGGGGTAAGAAAGCGGCAACATCACCATCTCAACCAAAGGGAGAGAAAAAACACCTCAAATACGTCCTATCTAAGCTTGAACCAAAGATTGAACAACTAATGGAAACCTAAGGCTGAAAATGACCCAATGCCACAGAGAATTAAAATGACACAAAACACCAAAGTAAACAAAGATCTAACAACAAAAATGAAACATTGGGCCTAAAACGGCCCCGGTCAAAGCTAGAGAAATCACATAAAACATCAAACTCCAATAAGAACTAGGGAAAACAACAAAGGTAAAGGAGCTTAGAGACTTCCTTGAGGAGCACAAGGGTACAATTTAAGAAATTCATTGGGAACAAAGCTGAAACGGAGGAGAAGGCTGATGTGTCAATTTAGTATTTTAGTGAAAGAGGAACATGTCTTTTTTTGTCTATCTAAGATTGAGCTTACCTTTGGGCTTGGCTTCCAGCCAATCTTATTTTTCCTTTTACTATGCAATTAATTTGGGAACCTGTGCTCTATAGATCTTATTTTCTTTTTTGATTGTACCTCTGAGAACATTATCAAGCTTTTGTTCTCTTTTAAGTATCTTGTAATCTTTATTTTGATGATATAAAATACATACCCATAAATGGGCTTCCCCCTCCCCTCGGCAAAAAAAAAAAAAAACTCGTTTGGAGTTGAATTGAGTCAATCACTTGTGGTATCAATCGGTTCGTCTGCCAATATACTTTATTCAACTATAAGTTTGTTGAAATCGGGGTTCAAATGATCATGAATTTCATTTCATGAGCTTTCAGTTTAAATATTACTCAAGATTCATATCAATGATGCTATTTTCTTTGGAGACGTATCAAATATGTAAATATATAAGAATATCTAAGAATTTAATGATGTGTTAAATAAATTTTTTTGTGATATAAAATTAAGCAAGCACTCCCAACACCAATATATATTCCAACATATTTGACAAATACAAGCCACATGCCTTTCTAGAACTAGCACATCGAACAAACAACTGTAACACGAACACACAACACACAAACATATATATTAACGCTACTAAGGCTCGCATGGGCGGGCGGGCTGGCGATCTGGCGGGCCATCAGCACTTAACGGGTGCCGGAACGTTGCACTTGACCGGGAGCTGCATTGCAAGGTCAGGGTTGATGCCGAAGTACTGAAGCAGGCCAGAGTTCTTGTAGCCGCAGAGGCAGTTCAGGTCTGCATGCGACAGTGCCGCACAGCACGTTTCTGACGGATCCGGCACCGGCTTTTGGGCCGATGAGCCCGAAATGGCGGGCTGGCATGCTGTCAGCCCATCCTTATTCATGTTGCAGATCTTCCAACTATCGGCCGCCTCCGCCGCCACCAACATAATGGTGGCGGTCACCGCCAGAAGTGCCAGAGCCAGAGCCAGAGAAGCTGAGGAGTTCTTCTTCTCCATCTCTGTGAACTGATCAAGTAATGTGAAGGAGTAGCGTTGCCATGAGTTGTACGTTATATATAGAAAGGAGAATTTTTTTTAAAAGAATTGTTCAATTGCTCTAAAGGTTAAAAATAAGATGAATATTTTATTAAATATAAGATAGATAACAAATTTGAGTATTATTTTAAGTAGAAAATAGTTATCTTATAATTTTTACACATATATCCTTAACTGATCTAATTTCTCATTAAATAATAAATAATAAAAATGATCCCTACTTTATGTTTAATTTAATTTTAATGTAATTTAAATGTCTTGTTGCTTTGAATTTAGTATTATACATTTCATCATATTATTTATTATTCTCATTAAAAATATATCACAATGTCAAATTGTCAAAATATGTTTTGTTTTCATGTCAGAAAATTATAAGATAAATAATAAATTTGAGTTATATTTCCTGTTATAAAATAATTAATTATTTTATAGTTTATTCCATATAAATATCCTTATAAGATCTATTTATTCTGAACAAATATAACATACATTTTAAAACTTTATATAATGGATTGTTGGAGAGATCAGTACAAGTGAGATCGATAGCTCGCTTCCCAACTTGATAGCTCATTAGTTTTATTTATTTTTTATTATTTGTAGGTGGTAGGTTGCTAGCTGAAATTATATATATATATATATATATGAAAGAGAACATTATATTGTTGTAGTTAGCATCATGTCATAAGGAGTTCCTAGTAAATTTTTTTATATTTCTAGTGTTTTGGTAGGGAAGTTTAGAGATTAGGAGTAGGAGTGCATAGAGAGTTTGTTATATTTGAATGTGCAAAGTTATGGTTTTACTAAGATGAGCATTGGACAAGTTAGATTGGATTAAGTGGAGGTATTCAAAGTTTTGTTTGAGACTAGTATTGAATCGTGCGACTGTCTATGAATCTAATTAGTTTTGATCGAGCTAGATTGGATATGAGTTTTTTAAGTGGGGCTAGTTGAAAAAGATTTTATTTGCCAAATTTTAATGTGGATGGTGAAATTGGCTCATCCTAGGATGGGTTAAGATGTTCAATATATCGCTTCAATTAAATCTATTGTTATGCATGATCGTCCAATTTTATGCTCGTGTCAAATCTATATATCGAGTAGGTTGGATGATGAACTGACATGTATCAATTTTAAATCCATATTATAAATAAAAAAATGATAGATTTGGAATATAAGAGGGTTAAATTAACTTTGGAGGACTTCAAAATTTTCCGGAGTACATCTTATCATCGTAGTTGGGTTGAGATTTTATGCTTAAACATGTACTTTGATTAAGCTATGTAGAAATAACCCAATTAATATACCTTTTATTAATTAAACTAGGTTGAGTCACATCATGTTATTGGCTAATTAAAAAATTTACTGAATTTCACTATAATTTCAGGGAATACTAATAAAGAATAGCTAAATACATTTTTCAACAAAAAATCCACATTACTATAAAGTAACTATTATAAAAAAATGAGGATTGTTTTTTTTTTTTCATCCACTAATATTTTGATAAAGCCAATATTTGTGATGATCCATAAGGATCCACATCAAAGACAAGAAGTCAAATAATAGTTGCAACATAATGCATGAATTTATCATCATAAAATTGGCATGTAATTATTCAACATGTGCTCATTATTCAATAACATCATCATATACTAAGTACATGAACAATATTCACAATAAATATGGAATCATTCATGACGTCATGGCCGAGTCCTTCAAGTTAATATATAATAAAATTTGACAAGTATTCTCTCTCATCTATTCAAATCAATACATGATCAAATTCAACTAATATAATATTCTCTCTTTCATTAAATGCATGGTATTATGTCCTCCATCTTAAATAGCATCTCCATGCATGAATGCTATGAAGATTTTATTATATGCATATTCCTTTTTATCATTTCCTTAATTTAAAGCACCTCATTAAGGAATGGAAATATTTCAAAATTTAAAATTCAAAAGAGGAGACACAACGGAGAACCTAAGCCCTTTTTCTTTTGCTTTCTTTCACTCATTTTTCTTCTACATCTAGCAATCAATTCTCACTTCCATTGTGTTAAGTAAATTTCGGAAGACACCTATGCAAATGCACATGTGACCCACCTCTAGAGTGAAAATATATAAAGGTTATTATTGATTCTAGGAAGGTATGTGCATATATTTCTAAAAGCATCATCCCTTGGATCATCACCATCATTGATGACATTATATGAACTACTCAACCAATGAACTCTAAGGCCTCTCCTATCCATAGCCTATCCTACATTAGGCCTCATATTGTCATAAGGCAATTTGTCAACCATCATTATTGTAGTCATCAACCTTGACGGCACAATTGCTATTATCATCTTATCCCTTAACCACTAGTTCTTGAATTATCATTGTGTTTTTTATTAGCTAGTCTAATCCTTGGGCCATCACCATCACCATCACCTTTTTAGATTGTTATTGCCTTGACCAATTTTCAAGGTCATATGTCAGCTTGCTACCACCATCATCTTCCTCCTATTTCTTCTTTAGCTTTGAACTTCACTATTTTTTTTCCTTAAAGTACCATTCTTATTCCCCTATGAAATTCTAATGATGCATCTGAGTTGTTGGATCCAATGTTTAAAATTGCGTATTCGAATATTGAGGCGTTTTTCATTCGTGAGGCGAGGCGTAAGCATCAAGGCGTTTTGAGGCGTAAGCCTCAAAATCAAAAGATTGCGTAAACATAAAATTATTAATTTTTTATATACTAATGAGTGAATAATATAAAACATAAAAAAACATAAGATATAAAGTGAAATCAAAATATCCCAACAATAAGACAACTTGAAATATAGTTTAACTCAAAATTCTATCTTTCCCTAATCCCAATATTCTTTTCATTAAAATATAATTTCAATTTCCAAAAATAAATAGCAATGACATATCACATAAGAACTCATAAGTCATTAGCACTGTCATCGCTAAGGAGTTCTTCATTTGAATCATCATTAAAATGAACTGCTCTCTCCCCTTCCTCCTCTCCTATAAAGTCCAATGTCAGGCAATTACTTCAAGATTTATGTAGGTTTTAATATATATAGCGTGAGGCGTAAGCCTCATGCTAGTGAGGCGAGGCGAGCCTCAAGGCGGGCCTCAACC